TCACTCGCGGATAAAATACATAAAGCTGTTTTGAAAATCATGTAAATTCGTTATAAATAGCACCAGTTGTAAATTATGTCAACACAAGGTGTAGTAAAGTGCACTTGAAATAAAATTATTGAATTCTTAATCGATAAAAACCTACATGAAAACAACATGTCTAACACCGTTTTAATGACTTATTAGCTTCAACATTTCATCATTTAGTACCTTTATAAGTTTTTATTGCTCTGCATAAATCCACGATCAATTTTGTCAAGATTTTTCACAAATAAACATGAACTTTATATTTGTCACATGTACAAATTGTTTTTCTTCATGAACTGGTCTAGCTTAAGGAACATTTACGGTTCAGGGGGAGGTAAATTTATCAAGGCTCTACGACACGTCGTAGGCTAGTTGTTGTCAGATACATGGCGCATGCCGATAAGAACTGTTTTATTTACGTTTGTCGTAAGCCTACGCCGCCGTAGAAATTGTCGCTACTCGTTCTGGACTGAAATTTTGCTTGGAAGTGGGCCTGAGGTTCTCCACCAGAAAAGCTTTAAAGTCGCCATGTGACCTACACTGACATAAAGCGACTCAAAACCCAATCAAACAAATCAAAACATTAACTGATATTACTATCTATACGTATCATACTAAATTATATACATAAGAGTAAAAAATACAAGTTAAATGTTGATGCTGCCAGCAAATGATGTTAACAGTCAAAGGAAATGTACAAAATCAGACTTGGGAAATGTTCCCTTTTACAGTTGAATATCCGAAGAACTTATTGCTTAATAGCTTATATTCTCATTTTATTTTAAATCCTTACAAGTGTCGGATTATGATGTGAAATTTGTTATTTTTATTCTTTCTTCAATTACGAACAAAATAGATTGCGCAAAATTAAGCAACAACTTGATGAAGCAATTGTCATCATCATTGTCCACGTCATATAATAAACAAAACTAACAGGCCAGACGATTTTCTTAGAGAACTTGTAAATGTTTATTTTGTCCCGCCAGATTATTATTAAATAACTGAGCAAATCGTTTCGTTTAGAAAATAAGACGCTTGTGTTTGATTGTCGATTTGATCTTCCTTTAAAATTCCTTGAAATTATGGTGAATTTCTAAATTTGACATTTCAAGGGAAAATGCAGTATACGTTATCATAGGGATATATTGGAATCGATGTGAAAAGGTTAGAATCTTACTTTATTACATTCTGTTGTATTTATTACAAAACATAATTAGGCCATCCCTAAAAAAATGTTTGTTTGCAGTAACCCGACCCAGAATTTTCAAGGTGGGTAGGTAGGTTGATTTTTTTTTATTGAACTGTACTCCCAAATAAACATGGAATTTCAAAATGCTGGACAGTATATGCTTTGATAATCTGGTAACAATTAATAAATTGATAACTGAATTCTAATTTAATAAGCATTACATTTTATTTCTTCTATTAACCTTTAAAAGAACGAAAACAAAACACAAGGCATAATTTTCTGATTAAAAAAAAATTTATCCAGACCATGAAAAAACATTTGAGTAGGGGCAAATTTTGTGAGTCGGTCGCGTTACTGCAAACGAACATTTTTTTAAGGATGGCCTTACCTCGGGTGGAAAGAAAAAATGGCTGTCATTTACAAATTCTAAGTTTCAGGGACGGAGGTATTTGCTTTTAAGAATTATTTCTTTGAACAAAAGATGCCTATTACTACAAAAGTCGCTGTTTAACAGTCAGATTGTTGTTTAACTGGGACGGATTTTTTTCTTACATGATGCATGTAAATAGAAAAGCCAAGCCTCTTTCTAGCCGATATCAGCCTCACCTGATAAAATTGACATGAAAAGAAAGTAGCATATAATTCTTTAATTATCGTAGACCGAATATCATTTGAGTAACTGTTATAGGAAATGATAATATAAATATCTTTTTATTTCATCTTAATTGGCGGTTTGTCATCTGACGTTTACACAAAGCAATCGTTTATTTGATAATGAAAGGGAAAATTCCACCTATCAATATAGACGGTTCTAATGTTTAAATGAATTATAAAATCAAGTTCTATTGAAAATGAGTACATTCTGTTGAATACAAACTCCGAAAAGTTATAAAATGTCAAATGAAACTTCAACTTAAAACTATCATTATCTATGACCTTAACACTTCATTCAGATTTTTATACTTCATATCAGCTTGTGTCAAGTGCCGTATGGCAGCTGTAAAAAGTTATCCCGTACTTCACTAAGTTTTTTTACATTTCTTTTTGTCCTTCGGAATCATTGCTTCAAGCACTTTTAAGTGTTGAAGCTTTGGTACCTGTCAAGCCGAGGTAGGGGGGGGTGTTGAGAGATGTTGCACTTTTTCATTATCCCTCATGCACTAATCACTCTTACCGAGTGTTCAATTTCATGTAACTTTGTTATGAAAGATGCTTCCGAGTGATCACTTCTCTTCCATTTGTATATCTTAATCGATACTAAATGATTTTTTAAATAGTTAGTTTATAGGCCTTTATCAGTGAATTTATATTCACATGTGATAGGAATATAAATCATGCATTGATAGATATTTTATGTTTGGAATGTGAAACTAACCCACCTATATTGCATACCACTGATTCCTTTATAAATTAAAAAGCATTTACCTAACTTGAGTAAATCTTCTAACGACACAGTGAATACAGGGTTTCTCAAGATTGTCTAAACTTTGCAAACACTGCTGAATATCAATATTTTCGACCATCTCTAAGAGAAATTTATTGATTAACTTCTTTTTTTATATAACAAATTGACTATTGCTAAGAATATAACTTGTTGTAGAAATGTAGCTGCATAACATTATTCCATTATTTACGTATCTTGAAAGCATCCCTACATGAGGCAGCTTGCCGAACTTTGGTAAACCTTTGCATATCTGTTCTTATTTTTATACATACATGTATATAAATTTATGCAAGACCTATATCGTATTGTAATTGTTGCATGACATTAAAAGAAGCTTGTAGTAATGTGTCACTATATTAGCAAATTAAATATATAAGAATGTATGCAAAATTATGTTATTCAATTGTAAAAATAGCAAAACACATATATGGAGGTGTGTTTTATTCAACTTAGTTGAAATCATGAAGCATGTCATTCCTAACTAAAAGCGTGTGTACACAATATCTTGCGATACACAAATCGTCACCTTAGTGCAAGAACTCAATATCTGCTTCTTTATCTATATGCAGTTATTGAGTTTTTGCACTAAGGTGACGAAATGCTATTTTGTAAAGAAAGTTCAACACAACATAATTGAAAATGTTGCAGGCTCGGTTTGATTGAACCTGTTCATGGACGGTACTGTAAAGTGCAAACTATCGTCCACGCCCCCTAGCACCGGCTTAAGCAGAATTCATCATTTAGAATTAATTGGTACAATTTTGAATTTTGAAACATCCACAGATGTGTTCATATGGCGGTTATCATGGAACCTTCAATGTTACACTAGGTGCCATTCCATGAAAAGCGACATATGGTCGCCAAGTAAAAAAATGCGTGTACCCTAAACGAGAAAACAATGGGCGTAACTAAATAAAATGGAATTTTGATAGGGGATTTGAGGTTATGAAGCCTGCATATCACAGATAATACGTCAAAAGACAAATTTAAAAAGCAGGCCAAATATCCTAAGGGTGATTCAACAGTATTCAGGTGAGGAATAAATTTTGTTTTGAAACTTCTTGACAAAACAAACATTTATCGCTTTTATTTTAGGAAACTACCTTTATAAGTATTGTATGCTTAAGGATCTGATCCTTTTACGTCATTGTATATTATGAAAGTAATCATTGTAAAATATAGTTGTGTACAACTGTTTGAAATAAGATATGCGACCTATAGATTATTTATAACTTCTTATGTGATATAAATATTCTAATCGCGTCATTATTCTACTTTACATGCCGAAAAATGTGTTAAATAAATACAAATTACCTAGATTGTTAGACATTCACATGCTACAGGTCCGATTAATAACAAATGCATACAACTTTGTTTTTGTTTTACCTTTTGAGATACCGGTAGGTAGGTAGGAAAGAAGCAGTGAAGGAAATGTTAATTAAAAGAGACAACAAATAAAACCGTTACAAAGTTAAGGAAATCCAACGATTCAAGATGGGAGTGAACAGAAGCGGAATAATATACTTTATTGTGATAACATGTTTATGTCAGTTAATAGGTAAGTTGAGTTTCTGTCTTATGCCATATCGAAAACATTTAATCATTTACAAAATAGGTAACTTGCTTATAGTTACTAAATTTGGTTTTTCTCTTTTTTACCGTAGGTAGATAAGTGATAAGGGTCGTATTTTATAAAACAGTGACGAAGAACGGACACCAAAAATATGATATACTTTTTTCATGTATAAATCAAGATATTCACAAATCAATTGCTGCAATAATGCATAACATTAAGATAACAATAGATCATCTTGAAACATTTTATATATCTTGAGTGTCTTTTCTTTATAATTCAGTATTTAAAGTTATAGTTTATTTTTGTTATCGCTTTAGATACATTTTTAAAATTGTATTAAACTGAAGTTTTCATTAAATTTAGAACATTCACATATTCCTACTTTTTTTTTGGAAGCGACGATCTCGTTAACAACATATGGCGATATTACTCCAGATGGACAGCTTAAATGTAACGGGCAATGTGTGCTCGTCTGTAAAATCAAACCAAACCCACCTTTCTTCGAATGGAAGATAGACAAGCAAATTGTGTTTAAATGTTTGTTCGATGTATGTAACATTCTTGTGACAAATTACAAATTTCCATTTGATAGAACCAAAGGCATTTTTAACATATCAATGGACAAAATAATATATGCTGACAATTTAAAACAATTTAAATGTGATGATGGCACTGAGTCAGCATCCTTTACTGCAAGAATTAAAGGTAAAGTACCAGTAATTTGATTGATGTTTTGTTTAGTTTACATGTATCATAAATATAAAATGATAAAATGTACATAAAACTCTTCTTCATTGTAATTTCTTGAAAATGAAGTAAAGGTTTGCAAGCAAGGAAAAAGAAATTATATCTCATTTTGAAAAAAAACGAGAACAAAGATCTCGACAGAATTCAATGAGTGCAGCCCCTAACAAACACAGCAAATTGAAACAATTTTGAACATAGCAAGGCCCTTGGCAAACGCAGAAGAGGATAAAATGAAACAGCAATGTCTTGACGTTGCTACATCTTAGAATCTGATTAAGGAAATAGTCGTGCCAGGGAGGGGCGGTGTAAAAAAGAAATCCAAAGGTACACCTGTGTCAGAGGAATGAATACTCATATTAAGAAAAACACCTTTGAATAGTGTTAACAGATAGTGTACAGACTCAATCAAACCGAGTCTGCAATTCTTATGTAAATTTGTTGTGATAATGCTTCCGAGGGATCAGTTTGTTTCCAGATTTTTTTAACTGCATTGAATCCATCCATAAATACACCATTTCTTGTGTTATTGTACCCTTCAGTACGTTCATTCATACTATAAGTTGACAGATGTATTTAACAGCAATTGATATTACACAACGATTGGTATCATTTTATTAAATAAATTATATTTTCTAATTTGGCAGTGATACTAGACGGCAGCGCTACAACAATCTCGTCGTCAAGTGATTCATCGTCAACAACTATAAAAGTGACGACAGATTGTCTTTCGCCTAGTACAAGTGTCTCTTTTACATGGTACTATTTTAAGGTAAATACAAGTAAATATGTTTTAAATATTAGATATAAAGGTATTAGATATACAAGAAGTTAGTTTTCTAATATTGTGTGCAGCTCAATCAGGTATAGGTCTTGTTTGAAAGATGTTGTTGTTCTTATTCAAGAAACATCACAACTAAAGAGGAAGGTCTCAAAAGGATCAGCAAATTTCTGTCAAGATTGATTATTTAAGTTAGTATAAACACTTAAATAATTGTTCTATACTCATTTCACATTTGTATAGGAAGGACAGACACCAGTATTAATTGAGAACAGCCAACCATTAGAATTAACTGACGAATACGGCTGTATGAATGGACATTGTGGAGGGAATGGGGTTGTCAAGATTACCAGTAAATTGACCATTAACGAAGATCCCGATGGAGAATATTACTATTTTAAAGTTTTGGTCAATCAGACTGATGCACTCAAGATGTTTAATATTACAGACCGAAAATTTAAAATGAAAGGTATGAAAATATTGTTTTATCCAGATGTATTTTAACAGATGTATTAGGCTTTCAAACTTTATTCCCTAGATGCTTTCTATAAAATATACTGCCTTAAGCGTTAACGTCCGATATGTTTCTATGTCTGTACAAAGAATCGTTAGGCAAATACTACATGCCTTTATCTAAACATCATTGGGTCAATATGACTTAAAGTATTCAGACGTTACCTTTTTAATGAAATTGAAGTTATCACCATGTTGGTCGAATACACAATAAGAAAGTTTTTTTTCTCAGGATAACAATGAAATTACAATTCATGCCACAACTGTTGTCCGCGACGGAAGTAAAAGTGTACAGACCGAAACAAGTTGGTTGGTGCTAGTCATCTTCCTCTTGAAAATATGATAATATGTTACACATTAAGAATATTATTTAAACATAAGGTAAACCCGAAGAATCACGCAATATATTATGTAGGTTTAACATAGACCAATTTCCAAAGGTCACCACCAAAGGAACTTTCCTGTGAAGTTTGGATGAAACTGGCTTAGCGATGTATGAGGAGATGTCGTTTAAATTAAAAGTTTACCGACGGACGACTGACGGATGCCGGACAAAAAACGATCACACAAGCTCACCATGTCACCTGTGACAAATGAGCTAATATAACGCCATAAGATAGGGCATCGTAAATACTCATAAATAAAGAATACTGGAATATTGATTTGGAGTTGGAATATGCTCAACTGATATAATGTGAAACGTTCCTATTAGAAGAAGAACAGCAAATTTTTAACACTTAAATTGATATGATTTTCATAAAACATATCTTTTGAAGCAATAACAAAACTTGAAATATTAATATTATGTAAAAACAAGGACATTCTACAATAAAATAAAATAGGATAATGTTTAGGTTTTATTCTAGTTGAAATAAATGTATTATATTTAAATAGCTGAATTCAGATTAAGTTTTTTTTTTTAACAACTAGGTGAACGAACTTGTGGAATCATGTTCGTAAATTCCTTAAAGAAGGAATAATTCACAATTAATATTGACAACACACAAACTGTTATTTGGTTTTTAAAACTTGAATTTAAATAAAGTTAAACGAAGTTATACATGTTATAACGAGCATATATTGACCTCATTCCTTTTGTTTTGATAAATTTAAATTTGAAGTATGAAAATGAACCGGAAAATAAAAAGGTTTCTTTTTTACAGTTAAATATTAAACATGTAATGAAAAGGCCTCTATTTATCGTTCTTTCTGTTTTGAAACGTGCATACAATAATAATACTTTAAAATTATTAGGTGAACTACCAACTGCACCTCTTATACACCCAGACCAACACGATGAGATCGAGTACAGCTCTGTGTCCTTCAGATGCATTACAAATGACAAAACGTCTCTGGTTATTTCCTGGCAGACAACATCAAAGGAGAATATATGTAGTTTTAACCAAACATGTGAAAATATCTTAACAAAACGAAGAAACAGTAGTTACAATTGTAATTGTCAAAATTCTAATAACGACGAGCTCATTGTAGATCTTTACATTCAGAATATAACTAAGAAATATCATAGTACTAATTGGATTTGTAAGATTATTACAACATATTCAGTTCTCACTAAGTCAGCATTGCTATACGTGAAAGGTGAGTACAGCATTGTAACCATATTGTGGATGTTTAAATGTGTTATTTACATACATTTTTTGTGCAATATTTCTTTTCTGTCATTTCTTTTTTGTTCTATTTCATTGCTTTCGTATTTGTTTGAATATCGTTTTAATGTGTGATATAAAAATTGACTCGGGAACTAAGATATTTGCATTTGAACATTTTATTTATGAATGATAAATTGAAAACCAATTTATAAATAATAATAATAATAATAATAATAATAATAATAATAATAATAATAATAATAATGATATTAATAGCAACAACAAACAAAATCTTGTATCGTCTATCGAAAGTGCAAAATTTAACATTATCTTATGTTTACAGTTATGCATACATTATGATTTAATTTATTGATGCATTGATACTTATATCGTTTGCATTCCTAATTATATTAATATGTGAATACTTTTTTGTTCAATGCAATCTTTATAAAATATGGACAATGTCTAGTTACTAGTATTCATCTTATCAACATTATTCGATTTAATGATTATTGTCAGAGTGTTGTCCCTTTAATAGTTTTAATTTTTAAAAATTGTCCAGACCATTCATCTTATACCACTAATGCAATTTTAATGAAACTTTACAGTTTACAAAATTGATCGGTAGCTCAAGTACTTACATATATTTCACGGGTTTTCCGGTTGAAGAATTTTCAGCCGAGTTATGGGCCTTGAATAAAAATGTGTTTTGCCCTGTTAATGATTATTTGAGTCTCCTACACAGTAGCTGCGACATGCAATTGACACATATCATCACTGATGGGATGAAGAGATCATGTACAAGATAAAAAAATTACTCCAAAACCGTAACACTTAGGGTTAAGTTATAAAAACAATCATTGAAAGGGGAAGACAAAGTGCTTAATTTATTCAATTTGATAGACGTATTTTTTTGATAAGCACACTTATAGAACCCCCGCCCCCTCTGTATCTGTTATAAAGCCACGCATTCCCATTCCTCCCCTTAGGCATCTTCCCACATTCTTTTAGAAAACATTGCTGTTAAAAAAATAATGTACTACGTAAAAAATACAGTAGGAATATAGTTATATATGATGAAACATAACCATTAATCACTCATAACATGTAAATTAATACTTGAATATTGAATCTTTCTTTCTTTCCTAAAATCTCAGAACATTTCTCTCAAGTCTCATATTATTGAAATATTTTGGCTCATCAGGAGGCGTGCTGCTTTCAGATTTCATTTCATCTTACTTTTATAAGTTTACAAAATGTGTCATTGTCTTGACTTATATTGAGAATTAATGTGTTTAATAATACTTTTATGTACATTTATCATGTAAACATCGAATAATAATTTTTGTTTTAGTTCCCGTCAAGTCCGTCGAAATAATGCCAGCCAGAACAAATGTACAAATATCAGAAAACTCGAGTTTTCGGTTTACTTGCATTTCGTCTATATGTCGCCCTGTTCCTAAAATACAATGGATACTTGCAAAAGAAAGAGACGATGAAAACTATTTTATGTTTGAGGGAAGTCAGTCCATTCAACGCAAAACTATTGATAGCAAAATGTCTTATGCAAACAGCACATTGTTATACTGGGCTAATATAACTGTCAACGAATGGGTAATTTTTTGCATAGTGGAAGAATCAAGTATACAAAGCAAAATTCAATCTGACGTGATTCATCTGAATATCACATGTAAGCTTTCAATGAAATTTGCATTTACTTTCATAATATTGTTCAATTTTAAAAAATGTACATTGTGGAACTTCAACTGAAAATAGATTGAGGAAAAAGGAAAAAGAAAACCATTTACAAACTACTTTATTATACAGAAACAATTTTTTCGAGATACACGTTCTTTGTGCGTAAAATAATTTACTTTTATTTTATTCAGTATAATAAATGGGCAAAGTATTGATAAAAACGCTACAAGGCTTTTCAATTTTCTTAATTTTAATTATCATTCTTGAAAAACGGAGTAACCGATGGATCTTAAAACTTGCATTCAAAAATAATTTCAGTCCAGTCATGTCCAAAAACCACAGTTTAGTCACTTCAGGGAGAAATGTCAATAAAATAAAGACTACTGTTTTACGACAATAACATTTTATGGGAACACCTGTTTAATTTGAGATGTACATGTTTCATAATGGAAAAATAAATGATAAATCTAAACTTTGGAGCAGAGATGTTTCTAAAGACTAATTGGTTTGGCTAAGATTTGAGAACAAGCAATACAAGAGTTTGTTAAAAAAACAATTTCTTTTATAGGTGCACCGAGACCTGATTCCAACTATCCTGTTACAAAGAGTATTACTGTTTCATTGCACGAATCCGCTTCCCTTTATTTGACTGCAATTTCATATCCAAAACCGAAGAACGTTTCATGGCAGAAACACAATGGTGACGTCTGGATAGAAATAAAGTCGAACAACAATATAAACCTTCATCGTTCAGACTTGAACTTTAGTCTTAATATTAAAGCAACTGTGCAAGAAAGCTATGGAATATATAGATTGATAATAGTCAACACATTTGGCTCGTTTAAACAACTATTCTTTATCAACGCAGGTAAATGATATCCGTATTATTTTGGTTTTTATTTCTTGAACGTTTAATGACACGGTTTCACTTTTATACATATATATCTCTACAATAACTTATATCATTAATTTCGGCAAATCCCACATATTCAGTTTTCGCGGCTTAAAAGAAATAAATAAATGAATTGTGTAACTGGACGAAAAGAAAAATAACCATATTTCAACCCACTTAGGTTTAACTTTTTGGAAAAGCTACGTGTGTGGAATAGCATGCACATATCGTCACCTTAGTGCAATAACTGAATAACTGCTATTAAATTTAGAAGCACTTATTACGTTATTGCATAAGGTGACGATATATTGTATAAGTTTGATAAATTAAATGAATTCAGTTGTACATGTTTTTTTTGTATATTCTGTTTTTGAAATTCAAAATTTTAAAAAATCATCATAATATATATTGAAACATATAAGATATACAAAAGAAATAGACAAAAATATTTGTATCTCATTTTCAGTTAATTCAGAAAATGATGACAATGGTTCTTCCAATGTAGCGAGCTTCATTGCTGTCGGAGTTAGCACATTTGCAGTTACAGTGCTTTTGTTTATCTCGTCGATCGTTGTCTTTAAATGCATCAGGTAATTGTTTTTTGTTTAGTTTCTTTTTGTTGTTTTTGTTTTGATACACATATTTATTACCTGTTTGATAATTTTAATCACTTTGATGTCATTTAAATTAAATTTGATATTAAATCTAAGAAAGCACGGCCATTGCTATTTAGGTCTGAAACAACGTTTTACTCTCTGTCTCATTTCAGACGAAAAAGACACAGCAAAAGTGATGCCCAAGAATTAGGTAAACATTTTGTTTTAATTAAAGTGTTTAAATTAAAAAGTTACTAAATGTTAGTTGGATACTTTAATTCGATATATCAGATCATAAACCTTAAAACATAGTTTTGCCTACGAATGCTGGGCTTTTGGAGTCACGACCGTGTTTTTCTCCCTCAATTGTTGCAGATGTGTAGCATACCTAAAAAGTGCACATTTTTCCAAATAAACAGTAACACTCTGTTTTTAAAAATATAAATATCCGTAGGCCAATGAAATAACACATTGTAATTGAATATATACAAGGGTTGTTCTGGAGGTCTTAGAATAACAGCAAATCATTTTTATTTGGTACACTTGTTGGCTGTCAGATTAAACAACTAATGTTTAAACATTTTTGATCGCAAGTTGTAAAAAAACATTTTGCCATAAATGTTAATATAGTTATACTCGGAAAAATGTGTATGTGTAAATGGCATGAGTGGTCCGTGACATCTAATAAGAAGAGGTATGGAAGACAATAACATAGCGGTCGGCCTTTAGAATAAGAAACATGTTTCAACAAATGTTTTCAGAGATATCTCGCATGTGTTGCTATTGTTAGTACTGGTAAATGTTTGAGAAGGCGATCCGTCCTCCGGACTTTGAGAGTGTATAAAGTTGTTTCGGTGGAATACTAATGATACATGTTTTTTTCGAATTTTGTCATGTTCCCATATTTGTTTAATTTTTCATTAGTTAAGAGTTGTTGGTATTTATTTTCTATAATCAAAGTATTGTTCATGAAGGTAAACATAACAACAATTTTAACATCAACCCCGAGAACTTCCAGGACGACCCTTTTATACAATGAGATAGAAAATTATCACTGTAACAGTACATTACGTATTTAAATGTTTCATAATTATTTATTCATCATATCTATTTAATCATAATATTTATATAGGAAACCGACGTCCATCAACTAGCAAAGAAACTCTTCTTGATAACCAAGGGGAAGAAACAAGTATATAATCTAAATACAAACAACTGGATAAAATCGAATAATGAGGTTCGTCAGTGCACGGCTATTGAAAATATAAGAACGGGTTCCAGCAACAAGGATTATGTTAAATGAACATGTAGAAATGAATAAGAAACTTATTTTTAATAAAGAAAGAATAAGATTATTTTCTGTGTCAGGCGGTGAATGCATGAATGATTCACGTTTTAACATAAAGTGTGTTTGCATGTACATGAGTCTGATTACATTTTTGATATTAATTGAAATTTACACCATATATAGGCATAAACATGATCTATATATTATAGGTTTGACAGTGTCAGTGTCATAGATTTGCACTGATTCTTATCTAAACACAAGATAACCTCAAGAAGCAGTCCCTTGCTTTAAGACGGTAAAACACTTTTCAAACTACTGAACAATAGCTGTACATTTACATTACAGCTTCAGTTATATATATCAACACGTTTCACAACATATTTAAGGAAGCAGTCCCCGAAAATAGTTGGTTAAGTTTGATTTTTAAAATCATTTCGGAAACATCGGCAAAGTGTAACCACTTTGTCGTATTTTCGTGTTTTTCTGGTTCCCCGCAAAGCAACAGAACGACAAATTGCTCACTAAAACGTTACGTCGTAACTTTGCTGGCGCCCCGCTGAGCGAAAGTACGACAACGTGGTTACTCTGTATAGCAAGTAACATTTTTTAATGAATACATTTGCTAGTTCTCTCACTGATTTATTTAAATGTAATTTGTAATTTTGACAAATATTAATCAAACATTGATTTTTACATGTTTTAGCGATGTCTATGTTTATGTGATAAGACAAATCAACATTTGTATCTCTCTTCGTTTACATTTTTAAGACATTTTAGCTGTAAATGGATAAATACCCTTTAACCATATGATTGAGTCGTAAAAAAATTTAGTAAATACAAGGCACACTTTTATATTTATATTACTTGCATAATGAAAAAACTATGGTTATTACTTATCTAATGTTGTGTTCGTGCAATTTGAAAGAAATAAAGGAAAATGTATTAACACAATGCACTCACTATTCATTTTTTTTTGTTTCAGAGATTCTATGAATATTTACATTGCCTTTGATTTCAAAGGCCTTGACTCCCTATGTCTTGTACAGGCATTTGTTTTATACGACATTGTAATGTATAATTGCTGATGTACTAGTACACATTAAGTAATGTATGATATCTACTAAATTTCTCGGAACACTTTTATTTCACCAAAATGCATTGTGTTGTCGAAATATTTATCAAAAATAAAGTCCCTAATATACTACATTGTTTATATTTAAGATAAATCAGTACTTCATTTCTCTCTTGCAATAAGTTCAATATTATATTTTGTAAGTAAAACACTTTCTGGTTCATTACTTATGTTGATTAATGTGAACATCTAATGTTTCGTAGGTTAGCTTACACTTATTCAATGCAACTGATTTATAAAATAAAATCCATGTAATCTTTGTCAGGATAATAGACACTCTTACAATGTTAAAAAGTTAAAAAGATTTTTTGATAAAAATGAACTTTTTCCATAACTATAAATATAAATGTTGCATAGAATTATTTGGAAACACGTTTAGATAGCAATAAAAGGTAGATTGTATTGTAATAGTACTTATCAATTCGTAATAGTATAGCATAATGTGGAAATTTAATTTATCTATAAAGTAAAAGATAAAAAGTTCAAAAAAATCTAAATGGTAATGGAGTCAACCTGAACAGAACCATAAAGTAATTAATTAAACTAACATCAATCTCGTATCAGAGGAAAGTAAAAGGTAAAGGCATGAAATGAAATGTTTATATCACAATGCATGGTCCAATATCATTTATCCTTATATGACAAGAGGTAAATTATTTTAGATCAAAACATTACTTTCCATAGTAGAAATGTTTATATTTAACCTCTTAAAACATTTTGTAAAGAAACATTTATGATATGTACGTGAAATGTGGCCATTGGAGACCACGCACGCACGCACGCACACGCACACACGCATACACACAAAACGACTGATAAAGCTATTTCACAATAATTATCAGGTACAAACAAAGAAGGAAACAAATATATGAAAACTGCTAGCTTTCAAGAAAACATTAAGTCATTAATTATCTTCATGGGTTATTGCTTCTCCGCTTTGGCAATATATTTGATACATTATCATTAAATCGAACATTATTATAGTATACCATTCATGTTGGCACTCACATATTTTATATCGGATGTTTCTAATCAAATATCTTAAAAATGAAAATAGAACACAGTCCGTTTACGAAATTTAAAATGTCAAACTTTTTTTTACATATTCAAGGTACACCGTTGATGTTTTATGAATAAACGGACTGGTATTTTTACCGAGAACTAATTCCCATTTGATGAAAACTTGTGTGCATCATTTGAAATAATTTGCTTACTCAGCTTTCGTTGAATCATTATTTTTCTTATGTATAGCAAGCAACATTTTTAATGAATAAATTATCTGGTTTTCTCCCAAATTTCACCATATTTTTAATGTCGCCAATTGTAAATCACACATTACTCTCTCAACGAATGAATTGGTGATTGGCGACGGCGGTGAGCGGGTCGTCTCTTATGGAATGCTTTTTATTTTGGCCTATGGAAGGAGCTATTATTTTTAGCAGATAATGTCATGTTGTGTTAATTAGTTTTATTTTGATTCGTAAAAATCAAGTTAACAAATATGTTGTTATACTTGTATTTTATAACGTTATGTAAAAAGCATGTGCATTGTGATATTATTTTTACGAAATTGCACGTTCAGTTTAACAGCTTGTCCCTTAGCTTTATTGTCAATACTAAAACCCAGATTTCGAATATCGTTGTGGTCTACATTTTTTTTTAATTCATTTATATATTTTCAAAATTTTCCTACAAGAAAAACGTTCACCTGCAAATGAGTATTAGGATAGATAGGTAATGGAACTGTTGTAAACGATTATCCTATTGATTTTATCCATATTACGTTTATCTATTAGACAGAATGATTGTTTTTACAAAGTGTACCAGTATCAGGATGTTGAAAGTTATCCGATCTTTTACTGCTGTCACATGGCCATCTAACTTTTTATGAAAACTTTACCATTACTTTGTATGGCTTAATAAAACTGAGCCTGCAACATTTCATAATTTTGCTGTTTAGGGTGTTCTTTTGGATTTCAGGGTTTTCTCCTTTTTTGAGGGGAAGAAACTGATGTTTACTAAATTATTTGTTCTTTTCTGTCTATCTTAGGTATTACTTACTATTTTTGTTGTATATAATTTACCAGTTGTAATGTCATCAAAAGAGGCCCTGAGGAGTAAATATTGATATAATTTTTACTGGTTTCATATACCTTAGACTGGATTTTTCTTGTTTGTTCAGTTAGTACACATACCTACAAGCATTCTGCTACAGGAATCTTATAATCACTATATGAAACTAATCATTGTGTATATTAATTGTTAATAAAATAACCTTTGGTAAAATGAAAGGTAGAAATTAAGAAAATTAAAGCTATGCATATATGTGCTCATGTCCATATATTAGAACAGAGAAAGGATAACATCCTGAAGTTATCAATTTTAAACACTTGATATATATGCAGTTAGTTATGTAGTAAAGTCTAATGGAAGGTTAAAAGAGGGACAGTATTTGTTACTGTAAGAGATATGCATTTAATGTTTAGACACTCTCACAACTCAATCTTTATTATATGATATAGACTATTTGAGATTTATTTTACTTTCATACTATACATGTACATTATAGTTTTCTTTCTACTAGTTTATGAATTTCAATGTTAATAGGATGTTATATTTATTTTTAATCGAAACTGGGAATTATTAATGTAATGTGCATACAAGTATATATTAATATATGCCATAATGTGTATTTATGTATTAAAAGACTTACAGTTATGATGGATGAGACCAATGTTAATGTTAGGATTTCATTTTTATTTAATAGAAACTGGGAATTATTAATATTATGTGCATACATGTATATCTTAGTATATTGATATGACGAGACTTATAATATTTCTGTATTTAAAGAGTTACAGTTATGACATTATTATTAAAGGGATGAGAGTCACGAGACTTTCATTTAAAGTTATAAATGATAACACATGTATTAAATGCCCCTGATGCAAAATAAAAATCAGCCTTCATAAAATTTCTTATCATAGAAAAAAAAGTTAGTTTTTTATCTGTACACAAAAAAGGTATTGTACATGTATAAGTACAGTTTATGTTTACTTTCAAATTGGCCTGTTATAAATAATGGCACAACCAATAACTGTCTAAACCCTTTTTAGTAAAAATAATTATACATTATATAAATTGTAATTTTGATTAAGGCTATGAGTATGTAAGATTGTTTTCCTATTTGTTTAATTAAGAATTAATCTACCTGTTAATTTAAAAAAAAATATCTACCTGTTAATTTAAAAATCTAAAAGTATCTGTCACGGTTTAGAACTATTCACTATTTAGGGGAGAAAATGTGTAAGGGGCCAGATAGCTCAATCGCTATAGCCGCGATACATAATTATGTGGGTCATTGGTTCGAGTTCTGGTCAAACTGAAAGTTTTTCTCATCCTGTTACTGCATATAACCCTGAGTTTATTCACTATTCTATGTAAACATCAGGAAATTCAAGGATACAAATCACTATATTCTGGAAATATATTTGGTTTAGAACTGTTTCATTATTAAAGAGAAAATGTGTAACCGGCCGGATAGCTAAGTTGGTCTTCTGACAGTCATGGGTTCGAGTCATGGTCAGGCAGTTTCAGTCATGGTTTAGAAGTGGTTTTTCAACTGCTTGATTCATTTAACAGATTGTATTAAATTTGAAATGGACAAAGGTAGTATTGCATGATACTTTTAGATCTACAAAAAGCATTTGATACAGTTGATCACTCTATATTGTAAATGAAGAAGTTCATCTTTTTCATCTTCATGAAACTTCAAGAATCTGTCATAGGTAATGACATTAACATGGTTCAAGTTTTATCTCTGATTGATAGCAGCTGGTGGGTGTGGCTTGTACTCATTCTACTACTGCTCCGAGTACCTATGGTGTCCCCCTGAGGTTCATTTTAGGTCCTCTTTTATGTCTTATATATGTCAATGATATGTCTGCAACCCTAAGCAATAAGCTTTTATTATATGCTGATGACTCAGGTATCCTTGTATCTGGTTAAATAAATCTGAAGAAATTCTCTCGTATGGCACGAGTCTTATAAGATTGGTTAATTGACTATACATTGTCTTTGCCTCTGGGCAAGACGGAGTCTATTCTTTTTG